ACTAGAATTTATATTTTGGTTTGTTGATCTTATATCAAATGTTTATATAGAAAAACAAAGTTTAGCTACATGCTACCGATGGCAAGATAACTTAATAAAAAATCCAAAAAACTTTGACTGTCGCATATTACAAAAAAGAAACCAATTTCTCAATCAGTCCTCATTTGGTGCTGTTCTAAGTACTCTAAGTCGTGTATTTGAAACGATGTAAAAAAAAAAAAGTTGGAAAGCAAAAGGATTTCACCGTGTCACTTTTGGATTATAAAAAAAAAACTAACATAAGAAAAGAGTAAAAAATCAGGAAAAGAATTGATAAAGCTAATTGGTTGATAAGACTAAAAGCAATTAGTCAATACTATAATATTAGATACCGGTGACGTCACTGGCACTTTTTCAGACTCCATAAAAATTATGAACTTAAAAAATTAAAAAAAATTAAAAATGACGTAAGTATTTTTCATTATTGGAGAAGTGTTAAATTTTCAAGACTTTAATGTAATAAAAAAGAAAAAAAAAGTCAAAACTCTACCATTACTTTCTTGTCAAAAAAAAGTCTTCGTTATAAAAATGTAGTAAAACGTTTTAATCAGCTAAAAAAGGTTAAGACAAAAAAAAAAATAATAAATTGAATCATAAAATGATCGCTTTCAAATTTTATTCTTTACTATACTGTGAAAAACGTTACCAAAGGTTCATTAATATCATCTGTAATATCACACAAATGTATTCGTTTAACTCGATATAATTCCAAATTCATATCTGCTATCTGTCGTTCATCTGAAGCGATAAAAATGAAACGTATACTGTAGAGAATTATAGTATTACAGTAATAATAGTTTAATTTCAATTTTTTTAGGGTTATTTGTTCAAAATACAACAGTAGTCAACTTTTGTTGCATAATATAAAAAACATAAACCAGCATTGTTAGAAAAGAGTTAAAATTTTAGAGTAATTTAATCAATTGCTCAAAAATTGGAGAAGAATTTTAGATGATAACAATGAACTGCTAAAAGCAATGTTAAACGAGTAATCAAGAAAACTAAAGACAAACTTTGTGCAAACAGTACCGCTCGAACCATAGAATTTTTTTTTTGTAAACCTAAACTATATAATGCTGCATTCAGTGTTCGAATAATTTTTGCAGTTCCGGTTGTTGTCGATATATCAAATCGTAACAGTCGTTTAGTCTTTTGAAAGTAACTTATAAATGGTGCTGAACATTTGCAGTAGGCTTCATAACGTTTCTGTAAAATTATAACCAGTAAAAGTGATTGTCGCATTTATAGTTAAAAATAAATTTTTAAACCAATTTATGTACACCTTTGGTTATATCTTTTTTTTTTGCTTCTCTCATTATCATTTTTTCTTATTTACTACTCAGCTCTTTTTATTTATTCAGTCATCTATCTATAAGATAAAAATTATGCAAAAATTATTCATTAAAAAAGAAAAAATACAAAAAAAAAACTGGCGTAATTTACTTATTAATCAAAAAAATTTTTATACTACAAAAATTTAAAATAACATTTAACAATTTTATGTACACCTTTTCAAAAAACGAGTTTTTAAGTAATTGCTTGAATAAGACTATAGGGTACAGAAGATAACATTTAGTGAAAGGAATAGCAGTAAATAAAGTTTACTCAATAAATTTTTTTGTCAGTAATTAGGTTGTTATAAACAGTTTTTTCTTTCACGAATACAAACCTCTAATCGACCTTTGTCCGCTTCATCGGCACCCTTCATAAATGCATTTAGTTCAGGACTTAACTCTTTTTCCAATTTTTTTTCCTTAGAACCCGTTTTACCCAGCAGCACCTCTTCATCAGTAATATTTAAATCCAAGGCGAGTACAACTTCATGCTAAAATTAAAAGCAAAAGATCATTTAATTAGTACTATCAGATTGACCGTCTTAAAGAAGCTGAGTAAAAACAATGGGTGAGGAAGCAATTACGGCGGCAAAATTTGCTTCATATAATATATTACGTTTCAACAGCTTATTCCTCGACATTAAAATCTATTCTTTTGACAGTGGATCACTGTTATCTATTGTTTCACTCAATTTTTTTAAGAGACAAAAAAAAGTAGCTTTAAAATAAAAGTAACCTGTTTTTCAAAATTTTCCATATCTTCATCATGATTCAGCTTCTGAAATGATGCACACTTCTGTATAGCGGCCATTGTTGGTACAATGTCAATGACAAAAAATTTTTTCTCACTATTGGCGATATGTGCACTTATCATTGACAGAAGCCAATCCATCGTCACCAAATTATTATAATCCTACAAAACACAGGCTAGAAGGTAGTTTTAACAAAAAGCTGTTATAATCAGTGTTTGATACAAAAGAATTGAACAAATCGACAGAAAAAACAAAGAAGATTCTACTAAACAGGTGATCAGTTTTTACTGTTTCAAATAAGTTTTCCAGTCCTCTGAATCACCTGAGAACCACATTTTTTAAACACTTCAATAACAGCTAATTCTGCCACATAATTCTGCTTTTAGGAGGAAAATGAATTGCAAATAAAATGCTATTGAACAATTTGTCGTTGTTGTACTCTTTTTTGAAAACTTTTTCTCAGCGTCAAATTTGCAATTTCATTTCAAGTTGCTTTTGTTCTTTTTTGCATTCAATGTTGTTACAAAGTTAGGAGATCAAATAAAAAGCCAGAAGTCAAGTCTGAAAAAGGTTTTAAAACCAAATGAATTTTATCATTTGGTTTTCTTTCCTACGCTTTTTTCTGGTCATCATATCAATTTGTCAGTATGAGTCTTCCTTCTATGTGCAAAAATGTTATTAATGAATTAAACAACGATAAGGGTTGGGAAAAGAACAATTGTACATATCTTCTGACAGTCATTCGCGAACAAATCTTAATCTTAGGAGAATCTTAATTTGTCGAAGACTAACTGTATTGCAGAGATACCGACAAAGATGACAATAAATTATTTTTGATCTATTTCCTTAATACTGCTTCAAAAAAGAAAAAAAAAAAGAAAGTACAACCTAATAAACTAAAAAATAATAAAAGGAAAACGTTTTCTTAAAATTTAAATTTCAGTTAATTTCAGTTATTATATATGTGATTGGAAAGATCTCAGAATAAGATTGTGGGAAAAACAATTATCAACAGTGAAGCAAAGCGAAAAAAAAAAAAGAGGAAATAACAGAAGAATATTCAATTTTTATTAGCACTTCCTTTTTTTTTGACCAATTTTATTCCATTTTAACTCTTTTTTTTTTTTGTTGTTTCTTCAACGTTAAACCTATCGACCAGGAACTGTTTAATCAAAAAATTTAAAAAATTTTAACAATTTTTTGCTGCTGTTTTTGGTGCCAATTTAGTAGCACAATTATTTAAAAAAGTGATAAAAACAAAAAAAATAAAAGAAAACACCAAAAGCAATAAAAAAAAACTTAAACAGTTTTTTTTACACTGCTTTTAATGGTCACTACTTAACGATGTTTGATAAGAATCTAAAAGCCAAAAAAAAAAAAAAAAAAAAAAAAAAAAAAAAAAAAACTTAAAAAAAAAAAAAAAAAAAAAAAAAAAAAAAAAAAAAATTTGAAAAAAAAAAAAAAAAAAAAAAAAAAAAAAAAAAAAACCAATACTGAAGAAAGAAAGAAAAAAAATCACCTTGGTGACCGAAAAACTGATGGAAAAGAAAGCCGAAAAGAAACATACATAAATACAAATTGAAAAAAGAAAAAAAAAAAAGAACAGATAATAGCTAAAAGTTTTAATTGTCGTCAGTTTTCGACTGTAATAAATAATACAAAAAATAAACAACTCATCACTGTTTGACATTTCAGTTAGTTAGTTTTCATTTTTCCACTATTCTTTCAAAAAAGAAAAAGCAATTCAAAATCTTTTCTAATATATACTCCATATAGCAAATGCTTTCGTTCTATTTTTAAGTTATCGCTTTGACTAACCCTTAATTAAGTGGTATAAGAAACAAGACAGTCTGATGACACTGACCCGTAAAAGATCCTGAAGTTCAGCGGTTCCATCGACAGTACTACCGGCCAACGAAGCGACATTTTCAAACAACGTCAACTCAACGTCCACATCATCAAAACTGTATTCGTTAACCAATTCTTCTACTATACTACCTTTACAGCTACCCGGTCCACCTAAATTGATCAGTCTAACTGACAAAATTTGCTGTTTTTTGCCAACAACGGTCTACTGGATTTTGGCTTTTGGTCAATAAAAAATTACCCTCTTTAATGACATTAAATAAGATAGAAAACTAACTGCAATTGGATGAGGAAACAGTAAACAAAAACAAATTTTTATAGCATCATTAACTATGCTTTACAGATTCACTAGGTGGTGGTCAATCTAGAACGTTCTAAATACTGAAAAGAAATTTGCTTGTTCTAAGTTTGCAGTACTGCACTTGTTCATCACTGTTCAAAGATCGTCAACAATTTTTCATCATGCAACTTTATTCATTCTTCAGAATACTCTTCAGATTCTTCCATTGTTACGCTAATAGACATTATTAATTAATGTGTTCACATTTTATTTCCACCTCTTCTTTTTCTTGTTTACTCGTAAATTTCGTTATTTTTCAGTGTCCTTCCCACAGTTTTACTGTGATTTAAGTGGTTTAAAAAAAAAAAGAGAGAGCAAAAGAATTTTTTGTTGCAGCTTCTATCTGCCCGCCAACAATATTCCAACAACCTCTCTTATCGACCATATAAAATTTGAGTAGTTAATTGTTGGCTGAAAACAACAACAACAAAAATCAAATAAAAAAAGTTTAATTTTTTTTATTGTTAAAAAAAAAAAGATTTTGTTACGTAATTCAAGAAGGAAAAAAGAGTAGAAAGAAAAAAAAAGAATTGAAATTGGAAGAAAAAAATTGTTTAGTGCCAATTTTTCTCAGTTGACAAAGAAAAAAAAAA